AACTCCCAGTGTGTCCTGTGGGACAACTCAAAGGGGTCGTGCATGGTGTTCCGCTCCATTAGCAATTCCTTTATGCCAGCACATGTAAATAATTATTCTGGCACAGGCTCCCAGCAGAGAGCTGTATGCAACCCTTCAGAGCCAGTGCAGCGCTGACCCCCAGCACAGCCTGTGCTGCTGCCTTTCATGGAGAGCAACACCAAGAGCAAGGAGATTTGTGTTCACACATGGACAGGCTGCACGTCCTCACATGAACAGTGCTTTTGAAAATCAAATCATCTGTGCAGGTGAAGTATAATTCTATGTGATCAAACTCTCTGCTCCCCCTCAAGAACTCATTGTGCAGCCCAGCCTTTTCCCTGAGATCTGACCCTCATGAGAGAAACCTTGGGGTTAAAAAGATGGGAGAAATATTTACAGAAAAAAAATGAAGATAAAAGAAGTCCACATGACTTGATATTTTCTGTGAAAGGTTTTGCCCAAGACGGAGCATTCAGCCAAAGCTACAAACCTCTGAGAACAGAAGCCACAAAACTGATATGCCTCTGCATGGTACAACACAAAACAAATCTTTCACCTCAGGAATCTGCCTCTTTCCAAACTCCAACAGTGCCCTCAAGTGCTCAAAGGAGAAGCCGCAAGCCAGGGATGGAGCTTGCTACCACCCAGGCTGCGAGGCAGAGGAGACTTATGAACATGGAGGGGAGAGATGTGATTGCATGACCGTAAGTGTGGCTCACTCATGTCCCTGCCTGAGCTACGGTGAAATGTCTGTGTCTTTTCCTACTTCTTTTCCTCGAATGGGTAGATCTGTGCCGATAGCCCATCTGTCACCAAGAGATGCTCCAAGAGCATCAGAAACAGATTTAATGTCTGTGCTGCCTGGAAAAGATGCACACGTGACAAGCTTGTGGAAACAGCATAGTTTGGATTTGGCCACTGGAGTGATCCTACCCAGCCAGACTTCCTGGATCCATTCCTTCAGAAGACATGACCTCTGGAGAGGAGAGGACTGCATCTCAGTGTCCCAGCTCCAGAGGGGAGGTTGGGTTTCACCCCATCTGACTCCCTGCCGTGAGCTTTTCAAGCTGTGTGGAGGCTGTTTTGGCAGAGCTATGCAGGGCTGTTCTCACTTCTTCAGTGAACTGGGTGTCTCAGCAAGAGGGGCTCTTTCAAGGGACAGGAGATAAAGCCTGTTTGGATCTGTGGGACTTCTGCCTGCTCCCAGTGAGAATGGTAGCTGGAGACATGGTACATGGTCACCTGCACTCCTTTGTGGGATACACATGTGATTCCTGGCAGGATGCTGAACTCAAAACCAGCTCACCTTGCTCAGGTCTTTCCCTGTGGGTTCCTTGGAGAGTCACCTGGTAGAGCTTTATCCTGCAGTCCTACACTTTGTGGAAAGGAAGCACTCAATAGTACAGCTCCACTCACCAGGACTTGCTGTACAAGAATTAAAATGTTTTCAAGGGACAACTGAATGTTACTGTGCTGGGAATTGACAAAGCTACTCTGGAAACCTCTTCAGGTCCCCTGCTTCCTCACCCTTTTTCATATTTGGGGAGACTTCTGGATCATTGGTTTGATTTATATTACATGGACACAAATCCCATTGAGTCAAGCAGCAGAGGGCATAGAAACAGGATGATGGGGACAGGAACTTCTGAGTCTGTTTTTGTCCCTGTAGACAGACTGTCATGGTGCCTCTGACCACCTTACCCCAGGCTTTGGAGAAAAGTCTGTGTGGCTTCTGTGAAGGCATGTGTGTTCTCTTCCATTGTTACTCATCACGCCACTGTCCTGTCACCTTCACACACCACCAGCCATCCCCTCCAAGGTAGAAGACCACGGGTTCTCTTCCAGCAGGCTGCTGTCATCCCATTAGGCCCCTGTAATCACAGACACCACCCAACAAACACCAATTTCAGTTCCAGAGCTGGTTTCAGCAAAGAGCCACCCCTTTTTGACCTTTTGCTGCATTGCCTTGATCTGAGCAGGGACACTCATCTTCTTCTTATCTCTAATTCGGGCAACAAGCTGTTCCCACAGGTGCCTGCTCCAGGTGCTTGTAGGAAGTAGTATCACAACACCAGATAGGCAGGCTCACAAACCTGTAGCAAAAACCTTACCCATTTCCTTACCTATTTCAGTGCCAGAGCTGCAAGTTGCTTGCATAAGGAACAATTTCCAAGGTATCAGAGACATCAGGACTCTTCTCTGCCATCAAGGATGGCCTTGCAGGAAAAGTTTTGCTTCTGCAGAGAAAGCACCTATTGCAACACACAGCTCCTGCTCTGCTGTGGCTCAGATCTGACAGTGATGGGGATGCTGCTTCTAGTGTAGCAGCCACTGCCCTTCATCTCATCAATACTCTTTGGCAAATGCCAGCCTCTCCCCCAGCAGCCTGGAGTAAGAAATTCTCACAGCTGGGGTATCATCTCCAGGTTAGCTGCTGTCAGCAGCCATAGAGCAAGAGCCACTGGTGACTTCTCAAGCTATCACCTTGCTGGTGATATCACTGGTGACTTCAAGGTAACACCTTACTTTGATCACCAGCCTGGGGATAAAAATAACCAGATCTAGGTCCAGATCTCTCACAGGGATCTCTTCAATACACAGAATAGGAGCACTCAGGAGAAAACTCATGAAGCACCAATTGACAGCTGTAGTAAAGACAACTCAGTGCAGGAGACTGGCAAAGGGCTGAGCAGGTCCCCATGAACCCCTCTCCACACTTCCACAAGAAAACAGCCTGTCCTGTTTTTGCTGCATTCACCAAAAGTGACCTTGAAACCTGCTGCTGTGATGCCATTTCTATTGTAACTGCAGAATAGCTGCCATGCCACTCTGGCTGACAGGCTCACCAAGAGGCATTTCCCTGGAAGAGTATAGAGGCCCCAGAGCAGAATCGGTCTCATCATGAAATTGTGGGTTTCTAATTAATACCCATTTGTCTGCAAGCTGATCTGCTTGACTATATGCCAGTCTCAGAATTTCATCTTCTTCCCTGAGGACAGGGCTTGGCAGTTGCCAGGACCCACAGCCCTAGGCCCTACTACCTGCCTGCTGCTGGTCACCAGGTCACACACAGACCAGGATATCACTCTTCACACCTCTGCACACTTATCTCGCAATTAGCATTTATTTATGCAAATGAGTCAGTTCATTGGCTCTCCTCTGCAATCTATCAATAGATGGAGCAGACAACACCCTTCCAGGCCTGGGAATGTGAATGGAAACTACCTTGCTACTCCACATACTGCCAGGTGAGATAGCATGGGTTTTTTTTTTATTTTTCATATAAATTTCAGCCAAAATCTTTCTGCTTCTCCAATGACACGAATCAGATAAAACTTCCCCAGAGCTCTGTTAGAGCCGAGCACAGGTCTGCAACCATACAGAGAGCAGTGAATGCCTGCTCGACTTTAGAACGGGGAGAAGAGTCTCTCTGAGCCGGCCAGGGCATGGTCCCCATACAGCTGTGGCTTAGGGAGGCCACCCGGGACACTCGGTGGCCTTTGCTGCACTGGCTGCTGGTAGCAGGGCCAGTCCCACTCACTGGGGCCATCTGGAAGCTCTCAGAGCTGCTGAAAAAAATGCCGCCGGAGGCCCTTTGTGAGCCACGGGCTGGGTCAGGTTACCGACAGAGGGACAGAGAACAGAAACACAGCGAGGTCTCCGGGAGGAGCAAGGAGCTCTCCTGCAACAGCAGAAATACAGATAGGGGTCTCAAGGAGTAACAAGGAGTACCTCTGCCATGGCAGAAATACAGATCAGGGTCTTGGGGAGGAACAAGGAGCACCCCTGCTATGGCAGAAATATAGACTGGGGTCTTGGGAAGGAACAAGGAACACCCCTGCTATGACAGAAATACGGATCAGGGTCTTGTCATCCCTGCCCCAAGAGCAGGATGCCGGCACATGGGTTGTGAGAACAGCCTGATCCTACCCTGCATCCTGTTGCAGACTGTGCACACAGACTGACACACGGCTGACATGCACAAAACATGGGCAAGCATGGTGGCATTCAACATCGGGGGGCTTCTTAGCTATTTGCATATCCTCGGGGCAGCCACACATCCCAGGGTCCCTGCCTGTGACACACACCCTTCAGCACCCCAATTCTAGACCTGCTGCCCCTGGTGACCCTGGTGCCTCAGGTGTCCTCCCCAGCACACCATGGTGAGATGCTGCAAGGTAGGCACAGGGAGCTGTGCCTGCAGCATGCAGAGGGAGCCAAAGGCTGGAAACTGGGCAAGCAGGTAATAAAGCAGCAGATCAGGACCAACAGCCAGGCCTGTGTCCACCTTCCCCATGTTCTACAGCCAGCATCCCAGAGTGTGGGCTGGAAGGTCCAGCAGTGCCCAAGCATTCCCTTGGCCCAGGCCAAGGGCAGGTGACCCTGAGGTAGACATGTCTCCTGCCGCCTCAGCCTCAAAGCCCCTCACTGCTGGCTGCTTGCCCACAGCCTGTGCCTGGCCAACACTACCACCTCCCTCAGGGAACGAGCCCCGGCTCTAACCCAGGAAGGTGATCTTTTATTACAGAATCACATGCCTCAGAGACTGAGTCCAACCTATGACTTAACACCACCTTGTCAACTAGACCATGGCAATAAGCACAGTGTCCAGTGTTTCCTTAAATAGTTCCAGAAACAGTGACTCCACTGCCTCCTTGGGCAGCCCCTTGGGCGGCAGAGTCGTGCGGGCAGGAGGTGGGGGGTGTGACAGCAGTCACCATGGCCAGCGGGTCCCTCAAGGCTGCCAGGGGACGGGGCGCCGGTGTTACCGGTTTAAGGAGCTCCCAAAACACAGACACAACGTCTACTTCAGGAGACATCGTTTAATCTGCACATGGTGTAAGGCGGAGGTTTCCACAAATCAAGTACACCAACGGGTAAAAGGCCGTATCTTTTATGCAGTAACATTCACACGAACCTGCCTATCTAACACATATTCTCCGCCTACCTAATGCATATTTAATTTCGGTGACGTGACCTTGCGCAATGCTCGAAACACAGAGTTATTTTCTTCATTAAGCAACTTCTGTTGTAGAAGTTATCTGACTACATCCTTTACGTTTACAAAAGGTGAGAAAATTCAGCCAGGGGACATAAAATTCGACTGGAAGACAGCAGGGCGGAGGCGGCGGGAGGCGCTGCCGCGGCCCTAAGATGGCGGCACCGTGAGGGGGGAGCGGGCTGGGCAGGGACGGCTGTTGTTGAAGCTTTATTGTTCCCGCTGCCGCCGCCACCCGCCGCGCCGTGCCCAGTAAAGGTAAAACCATGGCGGAGCCGGCCGGGCACGCTCGGCACCGGGGGGTCGGGGCGGCTCGACTCACCCCCGACGCCGCCTGGCTGTCCCGGCTCCAGCCACCCCTCGTTGCCCCTCCTCGGTACGCGCGGAGGGGATGTGGCGCTTCGCCTCGTACCGGAGAGCCGGGGGACGGGACGGGTGGGTGCCTCCTCAACTCGCAGAGAGGGACCAGCTCCTACCAAGCCTGTCGGGCGGATGAGGAGGTTGAGGGGGTCCGAAGGGTGCCTCTGTATTCAACCTGGCCGGGTGCGGGGACCCCCACACCCCACCCATGTTAAATCGAAGTCAGCCTTATAGGAGCTCCTCTAGTGCCCAAAAAACGCAGTCTTTCTCATTTTAAACAATCACTATGTCCTGCCATCTTTGCCTTATGGCAGGGGCCTTTCTTTGAAACCTACACATAAAAGAAGTTTCCTCTGAAATTTTGTCTCTTTTTGTCAGTGAGCTAAAGCCTCTCTGCTGGGTTCCATTACCCTCCAAAGGTGTTACATTACTTGTGCATTAGGGTTGTGCCCCTGCTTGGGCAGGTGTGACCCTCCAGGAAGTTTTTTAAAGGTATGCATGGAAGGGGTTTATCTTGTGCTTTGGTCACAGCAGATTCCTCTCCTTGCTTTGGCCCACTAATCACATCTGTTCTTTGAGATGATCCATCAAGACTGACCCATCAAGAGACAGATGAACAGATTTTTTTCACTACATCAAAAAAATGAGGAGTCTCATTTGATTTCCTCTGTGATCTCCAGCTCGATTGAGCTGCTGCAGGGGAGCAGGGAGAAGAGAGCCTCAGGGCTGTCCCTGTCCCCTGATCAGTGAGATATGTTACAGAGAGTTGCTGTGGTGGGTCCTGACCAGGACCCACCTCCTCCCTGCAGAGGGAGAAGCTGCAGTGAGGTGAGGCTTGGGGGTAGTTTCCTCTACTGTGCTGATCAGGAAGGCTGACACACCTGATTTATGGGCCAGACATAACATAAGACTGCAGGGTTCTTCAGGGTTCTGGTTGAGATATGCCAGGTGTCTTGTGTTTGAGGGGGAATTTGGGTTTACACTCTGGTTCAAAGACGGTGGTGCAGGAACAACCTGTTGGAGTATGGACCAGAACAGAGAGGTCCTTTCCCAGCCTCCGTGCCCTTCTTACTCACTCTTATTTCCTCTCTTTCCAGTATATTGTAACTGTCTGGACATACCACTTAAAGAAGATGCCCAAAGTGTCCCTGTTGCCCCTCAAAAAGCAGCTCAGCAGTTACAAAATTCTTCCAGGAGATGGAGGAGGCATGTTGGCTTTGTGGGGCGAACCCTACTTGGCTTTCACAATGCTGCATCTTCCTCTGCTGTTTTGGAGCAGCTGCACTCATGTTTGAAGAGTTGTTGAATGTCCTTTTTTCTTAGTGGAGTTTTGGGACTCTCTGATAGCCTGATGCAGGAGGTGACAGTGGTGCAAGTCCAGGTATCTTGATAGACTCAGCTCCCAGTAATTCTGTGTACTTACTAAGAAGTCTGAGGGAATCAGACCCATTTTGGGGTAACCATGCTTGAGAAGTATAATTTTAAAGGCCTTTGCATCAAGGTGCCTTAGGGGTGTGTAGAGCCATGTCTGCCCTTGGCTGGGGGAACAAATGGCTCCTGTACTTCTGGTGTTGCAAAATGGGTCACAAAAACTGGTCAAAGTAGTGTAGTGTTTTTCTTAGTAAGTCATTAAGCAATTGCAACACACCATCATCTGTGATGTAAACCTACCTGACAAAAAGCAGTTCAGATGCCCAGCTTTTGTTTTTTGAGGATGTTAAGGGAACCAGCAAAATATAATTAGCACTTCTGGTGTTCTTGGGCATGGTGATCCGTGGCTGAGCAGTGATTGGAGCAAACTGTGGCTGTTTCTTTGGGTTTGTGCTGGTTTTCCACTGCATGATATTGCTTGCTTTTTGGGGCAGCTCTTGGTTTGAAGAAAACTTGCCTTTAAGAGTTGTAGCAGATCTGTTTGTTTTTTGATCTATTGTATTTCTATTCAGAGCATCAGTGCAGACAGCCAAAATGTGTGGGGTTTGAGTGGTATATTCTGCTACCTTTAGAGACTGTGGAGTGCTGAGTTTAGTCAAAGTGTTGCTTATTTTCCTCTGTTACTAGTCTGTGCTGATGCTCTGAACTGCAACAAAATAGATTGAAAAACAAATTGGTGTGCCCTGGCTCCTTGTGCTAGATTTCACATTATCCTCTGGGTGAGCTGCCTTCTCTGCCCCTTTGGAGCACCCCAGAGGCAAGTAATGACCCCTCAGCCTCTTTCAGCACTTCAAAGGCTGAATTACTTTCTGTGGGAGAGATAAGAAAATGGAATTGCAGTCCTTGATTTTCTGGCTTTCCAATAACCCTCAGTGTAAGATCATCATCTTGGTAACAAGAAAACAGGAAACTGGTAAACAGGCGCAGAAAGTATTCAGATTGTGATTTAAGGCTGCCACTGCTCTTAACTCCCCAAAGCTAAAAACAGAACATTGCCCCCTCACTCAGAGGCCACTGTCATGCCCAAGGGACTGCAGGCCTGAGCAACACAAGAGATATATCCTAGCTTTCTGTCCTACTTCATTCACTGATTTCCGTGAGGATTGTGAAATGAGCCTTTGATTGAGTGCAAATGGGCTGGGATGTGGTGAGCTCTTCTCACAGGGTAGGGAGCCTTTCTGGGCTAGCTACCACTCTCCTGCAATGACTGCTTTGAATTTTAGCTCCCCAAGCAGAGAGCTGAGTGTGGGGAACAGGAGGGTTGTGGGAGTGCCCCTGTGAGCCCCTCTGATCAGCTCCAACAGAAGTGGCATTAACTGGGGACAGAAAAGTTGGATTATTCCATTTTGCTTATCTCTTTCTGTCCACTTTTTTCCCCTGCCTTCTTAGTTTTAGCTTTTTACAGCTTGCATAGGACTCCCTGTCTTCTAGTTTTGCGCCGGGTGTACAGGGTGATTTTATACATCTTCATTATTCATGTGAGCACTGCAAGTTCCCTGTCTCTGCATGGCTGCAGCAGAGCAATAGGCTGTGGGTCTGTGCCACATGGATCTAGTATGCTTGGACAGCTTCATCATTTGGCAGGGAGACAATAGTTGTTGGGTTTTTTGTGTGTTTTTTTTGGTTTTTTTTGTTTTTTTTTTTTTTTTTGGTTTTTTTTTGGTTTTTTTTTTGGTTTTTTTTTTTAAAGCTACAAAAAGCCTACTCCATGTGCATCTATAGTGAGAATTTCAGGCATGGAATACATCCTCAAGCTAGCCATTGAGATGGATACAGGAAGAGCTTTTGCTAAGTTACTAATGACAGCAGCTGTGTTGACCACACCTTGTAAAAGTCCTTAATTATATAGTAAGGGATATACAGAATCCTTTTGCTTAAACCTTAGAGGTCTTACAATTCTTTCTGTGCCTTGTGATGGATGTTCCGAAGGTGTGGGTAAAGTGGCAGCAGAAATTGTGAGGGAGGAATGGTCTCATCCTTGCACCTTTGGAGCACCTGTCTCTGTAGAGTCTAATTGCTAAAGTGCTTGGTCCTAAATTTCAATTATCTTTTGATCAGCCTGGTGTTGTGCATGGCTTTTGAGTCCGTTGGATCTAGATGCAAGTAATTTTATGAATAATGAAGAGAAGTGATTTAATTTGGGCACGCTTTTCAGTTCTGTGGATAGAATTGGGTAGCCCCTTTCCTCCTTCATTCTTCCTTCAACTTCCCCCAAGAAAGAAAGGTTGTTGCTATAAAGAGATCTTTTTCCTGTTCTAATGTAGTTTAAAGAAAATAACATGAAAGCCTCAAACTATGGAGGTGTGGGAGGACAGAAATAAATGGAAAAAAAGCATAAAGAGCTGAAACTGGACAGTGGAGGGTGATGTTTTCTGCAGACGTGTTCTGCACCTCCTATACTTCTGTGGTTCAGAAGAAAAAGGGTCATCTTTGCTGAACTGGGTGTCCTGAGAGCAGTTGCAGATGACAACTGTTGCTTAAGGGCGACAGGGGGACATTTATCAACATGTTGTCAAGTAGAGCCTTAGAAATTGTGGGCACTGTTGAAAATTTGCCTTAAATGGATTGCCTTAAATGGATTGAGTTTCATTGGAAGTCAGTGGAAGGAAAACTCCTAAGCCACCTTGGTGCTTCCCCTGGAAAGCTGACAGGATGAGGCTTAAGATGTCCCCTCCAAGGATTAATTTTGCAAGGCCTGTTGTGCAGCTTGGTTGGGCAAATGCCCTGTCTCCTTTTTCCCTTTCTAACTCCAGTGAGTGGTATTTCATAAGAGGGCAGTTCTTATGTGGCTCAGGTGTCAGACAACCCAGGAACAGTCTGCTTAAGCCATGTTTTACCTTAAGTTTGAAGTCCCCAGTGGAGCTGACTCCCAAGAGGAGTCAGAGAAGTAGCTTTAAGCTGAAGTGACAATTGGCTTTTTCCTACCAGTGGTGTTGGCAGAGGCAGACAATGTAGGCTCTGTCAGCATACATTGCTGCTGAAGTATCAGTTACCTGCTGTCAGAGAGAGATTCCCAGTTCTGCCCAGTCCCCCAGCCAAATCTCCCAAAAGTCATCTAGAGGATGGATGGGAGACGTAGTCACACAAACTTGGGTGAGAAACAAGACGTAATTTAACTGTGTGGTGGTGGAGGGTACTCCACTTAAAAATCAGTTATCATGACTCGGCTCCTTACTGGAAGAGAGACATTAGCCAAACCCAAGTTACTGAGCCTGGAAGTCTGCGAGGCAGTGATGGATGAGCAGTCAGATTGCTGATGGTGGTCCCTTCTGGCTCTTGGGTCCTCTGAATAGGGTGCAAATGTCTTGGGGCTGATCTTGGCCAACACCCCATGTTATAAATGCCTGTTCTCTTTGATGGTACTGGATGGTTTGGATCCCTATAATTAAAGAAATAAAATGTATTTAAAAAAAATATGTCTGTGCTAATTACTCAGGACACATTTTCCAGTGCTCTGAGTTGCTGTAATGAAGAAAGGGATGTGCTGGTAGGCTGCTTAGAGTTTCACTGTTTTGAGCTCTCATGACCAAATATGTCTTCTATATTCCTGCCAGGAATAGAGGGAGCAGACGGTGCTGCTGCTTCCTCCAGCTTGCCACAGTGCAAGCAATAAGCTTCATGCAGGAGGCTATTCATGGCAAAGTGAGCAGACGTCTCTTCCAGGACAACGATTTTTCCTGCTTATCAATTTGTAGGAAGAGCTGTAGCTGCTTAACCAGCAGACTCAATTTCAACTCATCTGAAGGACTTCCAGTTGAAGTCCTCTGGGGAAGGAGTGGGTGGACTAAAACTGCTATTACATGGAGTCTGGCAAAAGAATCGTGTCTGTCTCTTCTCCCACGACCAGCAGCAACTCTGCTGATGGCAGCTTGGTTCCTTGTGATTCAAAATGGTGTGGGAGGAGAGCAGAGCCTGCATGTTGGATCGACTGGAAGTACAGGTGGTTGGCCCTGTGCATGGGGGAGGGGGTGGATCTCATACTTGGAAAGATGAGCTGCAGATCAACCAGGCTTTGGTAGTAATGTGCCTGAAGAAGCTCTGGCTCTGGGGGGCAGGAGGGTGGGCTATCAGTGCACTCAGGTTTTTCTGCCTTCCAGAGAAGGACCCACCAGCACCGTGCTCTTGCTTCAGAAGTACTGAGAAGTACTGAGGAGCGTAACACCTCTGCTTTGAGGTGATGGCAAAACCATCTGTGATCTTCTCCTGGTGCTTGAAAAACAAGTTTCATAGCACTTCATCTTCAAAGCCTGAGGAAGCTCTTGGCTGCACAGGAGAGCTCTCCTGCCTTTCTGGTATCTACCAACCTTCTTGTTCAGCCTTCTGTAGCTCTGGGATGAGGAGATGTCACTACTCTCTTCTATTCTTCTATTCTCTGTCTTCCCACAGCCACCACAGGCAGTGCCATGCAGAATGACAGTTGGGGTCCTGCCTGCCTGTGGACAGGAAGTCCTGCTTCCCACAAAAGCTGAGTTCCAGAGAAGTTGGTGCCTTCAAGAAGTGAGATGTCAGTTCAGCCTGCACCTAGCATCCGCTTATGATGTCATTTGGTACAAACTGGGAGTTGCTCTGATCCTGATTTCATGCGAGGCAGAACTTTGAAGTTGGTGTATGTGCATTGGCTGTTAAAGCTCGTACCCTGGTGATAGGCTATACTAGTCATGTTATCTCCAAGAGAGCCGGAAGCTGAGTGCGAAGATGTTAAGTGTTGAAGGTCATGTAATTCATGTCCATCCAGGTGCTCTTTCTCTAATGCTCATACTGCTCCATTTTGCCTGACATGCCAGTGTTAGGCATCCTAGTGTGTGGACAAGGCAGTAATATCTTTATCTTGTCTATCTTAGATAAAAACTCCAGATGACCCACTGATAAAAATTCTCTTAGCAGATGTCCTATCTGTTCTCCCTCCTGCAATGGGGTGGGGAGGAATGGAGGTTAAAGGGGAATTCTGGTAGATGGGATTAGAATTACGGACTTCTCCCAAAAATTACATTTTAGGGGAAAAGACTCATAAATCGATGATCTGAGACCATGGTGTGCTGAGAAGGGGGTGCTGAAGGCCCTGGGTTGCAAGCAGAGCCCTGTCTCTAATGTTCACATGACCCTGCTCATCTTACCAGTGATTTGGGGGAGAAAATGAACTGGTCCCAAATCATTTAGTGCTTTGCAGGTTCAAACTAACACCTCAGATTCTCCTTTGTATTTGGTAGATGGTCTGAACAGGTCTTCATGCCCTGCTTCCTGTTGCGGCACGCGTCTGACTCTCTCTGACCTGGCTAGCGGCGGAGCAGCTGGAGACGGGCCGCAACAAGTGGTGGAGAATGCAGGCACCCAGCGTGGGGCACAGCAGAGCGTCAACCTCCCAGCAAACATGGGGTATTGAGGATGGTGCAGAGAGACTACCAATGTGAGGCCCTAGAACACTGTGGGCTTTGGTACTCGGGAGCGAGGTTTCACGGGGACCAGCAGAGAAGAGAGGGGATGTAAGCTTTCAATTTCAAGTCTTGCTTTCATTTAAAAGCTGCCAAAGAAGACCCTAAAACCATTACATCAACACTTTAAGATCAAAATAATCAACCCCCACTCTAGAATTTTTCTTAAATTTAATTGATTTATTTTGTGATGCAATTTTTGTGTTGTTGTTTTGTTACATTGTCAGGATGCTAAGATCTTATTTTTAGTTTCAATAGGGTAACAATCATTTAAATTTTAGTTTTGATTGAACAATATTTAACAGACTTCTTTTCGCAGTTTTTGCATTCTGCCCCCCATGTGCCTGAAGCCACTGACCCTGAGAACAGAATGGGAGATGGAATGGGACTGGCCACACAGCCACACCCCAGACAACCAACATCAGGCCTCAAGAAAGAAGAAGCCACAACTGATGGCATCCAGGCAGCTTATGGTGAGGAGCAAAGGACTTGCAAAGGACTCTGGGACCAATTGGGAGTAGCCATCCAGATCAACAGCGCATGATTGGCCAGAAGGCTTCTAGAACATTCTGAGAGACTACATTCTATGAGAGACTATATATATGCATGTCGGCCCCACTTCAGGGTCTTCTGAAGCAGCCTCTTTATGTTTTGTTTTGCACCCTTGTTTGCACCCTTTTATTTATTTAATAAATATCTTCAGTTTTGGCACTTCAGCTGTACCTGTCCCTTCCTTGTTGCTGTGCCACTCGACCACACCATCATCAAGCTCCTGAGAACAGAGGGTTTCCCCATGCACCCTGTAGATCCCTCGGGGTGTTGTTGCTGACCCATCTCAGGCTGCTCCACTGCCACCTGGGTCAGAGAACACTGGCAGTCAGACACATGCTGCAACAGCTTCCCCACCTGCCCTTTCAGAAACCAGCTGCTGAATCAGCTCCAGCCCCTGGCTGCAAGCACAGCCTGGCACTGCAGTGCCTGATCTGATGGGTACGCACACCTCTGTGAGATGTATGGCACACCAGGGAGGCTCTACTCCCTTTTTATAGCTCCTGGGACTCAGTACTCAGTCTATATCTGCTCATTTAGGTTTGAGCACTATCTAGACTACTCAGGTGTCAGAGTAAGTTGCTGAATTTGAGGAGTGTGAGTTCAGAATGAAGATCTTGCTATAACCAAAGAATTGAAGCATAGTAAACTACTAAAATTTGTAAACTGAAAAGTAATTTTCTTACTCTTTCTGTCTTGTAGAGAGAAATGTTGCCAGGATCCATTTACTTTTCATTATTTGGGCTTTGTAAAAGCAGTGTGGAGACCAAGGCAAGATGAGGCCAATAGGAGCTTCCAGTTACGGCTGGCAGTTGCTGCCCCAGTTGTACACTCTCTTCAAGGAGCAGCACTTCTGTGTCTGCACCATCTTCATTGGGAATGTGCATTTTAGAGCACACAAGGTGGTTTTGGCTCCTGCCAGCCTGCTGTTTAAGTCCATGTTGGACAGCACAGACACCATCTCCCATTGATGCTTCTGTGGTAACACCTGAGGAGTTTCCACTCTTACTTGAGATTATGTACAGTGGCAAACTCCCACTAAGAAAACACAATTTCACCAAAGTTATCTCTGTGACAGATAGTCTGCAGATATTTGATGTGGCTGTTAGTTGTAAGAACCTCCTCAGGGATCTCATAAGTTGTTCTGCCCAGGACCAGGTAGTAAAAGGAGTCTCCAGCCAGGAAGCAGATTCATCTGGAAACCAAGCTAAAGCTAATTACCTGCCCCAGTCTGGAAGACCCGATGAAGACAAAATATCATCCTCAGTCAGAGAGTTTCTCCTTTACTCTGTAGAAGCAGAAATGGAAGCAGGTGTTTCTCCTCCTGGCCAGGAACTTACTGTGAATCTCACCTGGGTTCATCAGGACACAATGTCAAGTGACTCCAGGTCCCTCCAAGAGGATTCAGGCTCTGGCCCTGACCAGCCTGCCCATGCTGAGTGGAGTGGCTGTGTGGAAGAGGAGCTTGCTGAGCTGCCAGAGGGGAAAGGGCGATCAAGGGATTTAGGTGAGATGTCATGGGTCTGGACACATGCCTCTTATTTGCAACACGTTGGCCCACATTTGCCTGTTTTGGGGTATTTTTACTCTCTGTTTAATCTTTTTAGTTTGCTCTGGGTTGGGAGCAACAGCAATGTAACCACTGTTGTGCAGAGATTTGCTTCCTTTGGCTTTTGTAGTTGCTTCATGCTAATTGCTTTGCCAGAGCTGTAGTGAGCAAAACTTTCATTGGCCAGGCATGTGATTGCCATGCAGTGGGATCTGTGTTATTGCAGGACATAGGGCTGATTAGACAATCTGTCTAACAGCAAGTGAACAGAGTTGCTTGCTAATGCTACCTTATCCTTTAAATTCCTGTTCAGCATGGGAGGAAAACAGAGGCTGTACTGGATTTAAAATAAATGTTCCATTTATAACTGGTGTTAAATAAACTGTTGGGTTTCCCTCCAGGCTGTGTGATGTCTTCAGAAGGGATTTATAAGTCACAGTTTTCCTTTTATAGTCAATGTGCTGGTTACAAACTGATGCCTTTCAATCACATCATGCTTTCTGCAAATCCATTCAATTAGCAAATAATGAATCTTGTTTCTCTCGTACAGCAGCAGAGAGCAAAAGCTATTAAATAGATTTCTTTGTTTGAAATGAAAATGTTTTCTGAGGCTCTTTCTGATGCCCAGGCTGTGCTGAAAAGACTCAAAGAGTGCAGAGAAATTGATGCCTCTCAAAAGGAGGTAGGTGTGTTTACTTCCATAAATCATGCAAGTTTTTTCTTCACCCTGCTAAGGGCTGTAATATTTTGTGCCTTGTTTAGGAAATGGTTTCACGGGAAACTGGTGCCTGGTTGTTTGAAGGGCATCATGTGCTCACCTGAGCAACACCCTAGAGAGAAGCATCTGTAAGTGCAAGTTGCTCAGGCATGCAGGTAAAGAAGTATGTCCTGCCCTGAAGGCATCCTTGTGTTGTAGGAGAGCTCCAGCATAGATTTCTCTCCTCCTGTTTTTGGCATTTGCTTCAGGAATTGTATCGACTTGTAAATGGCTGACATATGAGATCCCAAAATAGATTTCCTGAGCCCTCGGCACTGTCTTGCTGTGAAGCATCTGCTGCTCTCTGTACGGCAGAGCTGCTGGGGGAGGAGTGGGACAGGGCTTGACAGGGGGAACTGGGTGCTGCCCCATGGTGCTTCTCCTGCCAATGTGCTGCTTTAAGAGCAGTTGGAGTTGGTAAACGATGCTCAGTTCCTGTTGCAGGGGGTAACTGAGTGTGCTGCTGGGCATATGCTGAAGGGTTCTCTGGCCTCTGAGCTGTGGTAGCCAGATGCCACCCATTGTCCCAGCTCAAGGGCAACACAGAAGCAGAATGTGATGTCTGTACTGGTGTGACAGTGGAGCAGGAGGACAGAGAGCTTGTGAATGATTGTGGTGAGTCTAGGTGGGCACTCGTGCTGGCTGCACACTGCTGTGCAGTGGCAGGGTCTGCAGAAGAGCTGTAGCCAGTGTAGAGCAAGGACGGGACTGTGCTTGCTGTTCTCTGCCCAGCCATTTCTGGTAGAGCATTTTTCATACCAAGCTGCATGAACTGTCCTGCATGCCTTTCTGAAGGGGAAAAAGTATTATTATTTCACTCCTGGCTCTTCCGTGGCTCCCTGGTTATTCAGCCTTTGGAGCAGTGCTGTTCCGTAGGCTGGGGGCTGCCATGCTCTCTAGGTTCTCATGTAGTTGCTGGCTGGAAGCTGTCTGGATTCAAGTCCCTCCAAGTAGCAGTGTGATCACAGGACTTGGTATGTTTTTACCATTGTGACTTTCTGCTTATAAAAGCCCAAGACCACATCTTTATTAGAAAAAAACCCCAAACTTGTGACAGCAGGGAGGAGAATTCCCTTGAGTTGGGGAGTGCAGGATTGTTTTCTGCTAAGCCCTTAAATGTTCACGAAGGGAAGCGTGTGTTCCCTTAGCAGCTGGTTCTCCTCATGTTGTGGAATATAACATATTGGGGGTTTTAGGAGAGAGATGTGGGTCCATATTTGCAGTAGTAAGCACAAGCCCAGCTGGGTAGACAAACACCTCTGAGTGCCCTGCTCAGAGGATTGGATTTTTCTATGTTTGTTTTTCACCATGATCAGGTAAGTGTGTCAGGTTTAGACTTTTACCTGTTATTACAAAACACTTCTACGAATGGAGCCGAGCTGGGGTGGGTGCTGTGCAGTGTGGATTGGTGCTGCCAGAAGGGATTTGGCAGCTCCATGCTCCCATGCTAGCAGGCCCTGTCCCTGTTCCTGCCTCTCCTTACTGCTGGTGGCAGGGCAGAGCTGAGCTGGCGGAGCGCCCAGGCAGGAGAGCTGCAGCTTCTGCACTGCACAACAGCCCTGTTTGCTATTGCTTTGCCGTAGCTGCCGTTTGGTGTTCCTGCACCACTTCAGACCCATTCCTGGCCTTTTGTGCTCCCAAATGAGCTGTTACAGGAGGAGGCAAGGGAGAGGTTGTGGAGCTCAGAGCCAGTTTGAGTGTCTGACTGCACAGTGGTAGCGGGACAATTTTTCTGCAGCTATAAATAAGTGCTGAATAAATGAGCAATGGATTATCTTTAAGGCTTCTTGAAAAATCGCTTTTCAACTGTGACAAGCATGAAAAGTGTCAGCCCCAGGGCAGTGGGAGAACAGGCTGCAGCCTGTTATAACCAAGGGCTCAGCCAGATCTGTCCCTCTCTGAGCTCCCCTCTGGGACCAGCAGGACCTGTGGACCTTAGCACTGAGTCTGTTTCCGGCACACAGAGCAGCTTTTCCCCACCAGAGCCTGGTGTTTCCTTTGGGGGGAAACACAGCAGTGTATTTTTAAAGTCATGCTTGAAGTGCAAGTTCAGCTCCAAAGAACTGAACTGGGATGTGTAACTCAGGTTGAGGTTGTGCCAGTGGTAGATGTCAATGGATTTTTTTTCCCTCTCTTTTTTTCCCCCCTCCCTTTCTTTGTATTCTTTTCCTAGTCATTTGTTTGAAGTCTCGAGTGCCTTGGGGCAAGTAAAAGTGTGTCTGGATGCCTGTGAGACACTGTTTCTGTGTAGAAAGCGTTCTTGCTGGGTGTGCTTGCCCTGCTGCAGGGGAGATCTCCCATTTCTCGGGATTATTTTCTTGGGAGCCTTTTGGAAGCAGCTGATCTCTCTAGGAAAGCACCGGTTATTTTGGGCAGTAAAGCCTGGGCAGCATAGAAGTTTAGGGGAGTTTTGTCAGCCTGCCTATTAGCACCAAGGCTGTCCTGGTTCCTGTGGTTTTAGTGGAATTTGGCCTTGGATGCCTCTCTATTTATTTTCCTTTGCTGGTGAACTCATCCCTGCATGGTATCTTATTCTGTGCAGCACTCTGGTCTGCTCCCCTCTATTGTTTCTGCCTATTTCCTCCTACCTCCACTGGAGACTCATTTGGTTGTGGGGTTTTTCCCCAACAAAGTTTGTGGTGCAGGGCTGGCTTTTGTGAGAACTATTGCTTCTCTCTGAGTTTGATATTCTGTTCTGCTCCCCAGACTGAAAAATGCAGATGAATTGCTTTTCAGTTTAGGGAGATGTGATTTTGGGGGTTGTTTCTGTTTTATAGTTTCTCTGTATATTTCACATAAACTATTCCTATCTAATTTGGTTTTGGCTTGGATGAAATCTGCTTGGAAACAAGAACA